GCGAACTGGTAATGTTTACTGGCGAAAGGTCTTCAACTCATTTTGGCTAGTTGTAACTAATCAAATCATGAAAACCATACATTTGGTCAGTGACTATCTTATGTGTGTTTATAACGTAGAGGATGTTGCGTAAACTTAAATTTGGTCAGTGGCGATCTGATGTTTGTTTAAAACATAGAAGGTGTTTGCGTAAACTTATAATTGCCTAGTTAATTCTTATGAGCACTAAGATTTAGAGAATATATAGACTCGTACTGTTGAAAGACATGAGGTAAAGAACTGAAACATCAGACAAGAAAAAACAGACATCCATAGAAAGCTCTATCGGTAGCTATTTGGAGATGAGCATTGCATACATAGAAATGGCAAACACTATCAAATACAACTCCTAACTTTAAACTTACCTTCACCGCGTGCTTCATCAGAGACAGCAAGTCTGGTATAAATCACACTTCCACTACCATCTCCTGGTGAGAGTTGCTTCAGATTCACAACTTCATTCCAAATTGAACACACATTATTATCATAAGCATATGCATTACATGAAGAACAGTTACTCAAGCAAGTCGACTGGCATTCCTCAGAACTAGCAGCCGGCACAGTTAGAGAATAACCGGGCAATGTCACTTTGGGATTCTCCGAAAAACCGCCCTTCATTTTACCATCACCACACTGCAAGCTTTCCTTCCTAACACAGCCACCAGAATGATCATTCAAGTCCCATTCTGTATCAGATCTAGGTGTGAAACCAGTCAAGCAATTACAGAAGGTCGCGGACTCCTTATTGCAAATGCTAAAGGCACCACAACTAGCATACACCTCACAGGGTTGTCTTGGTTGAGATGTAAAAATTTGCCATTCCTTTAAATTTTCGGCCCAAATCAGATGCCTGATTTGCCCAGAGACATCTAGTGTTAATCTGATTTTGGAAGAGTTACGGAGGGAATAGGTAAAATAGCTCTCATTTTCATTATCAACATATGAAAAACTGTATCTATCAGAATTCAAACTCATCTCAGGCATCATGTTGAAAATACGCCCATTCCAAGATCCAGTAGCTGAGTACATCTCAGTCCTGTTCCACTTTATCAAGAACTGCTTATTACTCTGATCCATTTCCACGGAAAAAATCCCCGGAGATGGATCCTCTGAGTTCTTCCAAGAAGTAAGAATCTTTGTTGTATTTGTACGCTTGTCATACTTCACCTTAGCATTCGGCAACCATGTATTAGTCGGGTTATCGAAGCTTTGCCAAAGTGGTGTAGTTGAATTTGATCCATCACTCAAAATCAAATTACCATCATCAGAAAGAATTGCCATTAGTGTATTTGAACTAATTGTGTTGCTGATATTTGTGGACCAAAACAAGTTTTTGGATTCAGTAATAAGCACTAAATTACCATCCAAAACTTTCAACTCAACAGAATTCATATCAGTAGCAGAAAGTGGCTTCTCCCTGTTTGCTACCCATACTATTGTTTGTGGCATTACATTCTTATACCATATACCAAGATAGTAATTTTTCGAACTACCAGGAAAAAAGAATCCTAATTCAAAGTTTTCGCCCGAAGAGACTATACTTTGGTTTCCAGAAACAGAGTGATTTACTGAGATCATTTCAACTCCAAGAGACTGATGAATATTGATAGATAAACATGTTAGGATCACAAAAAGTAGACGAATCGAATAATGTTGCAGTTGCATGGTTGCACCAAATTTGATAACAGAAGATGCACAGCATCAATTAAGATCATGTTGATAGTCATGGTAAGACTTGGTTTTTTCGTTCAATCAGATTCATATGAGACTTGTCTAATAGTCTAAAAGTCAATAAGCACGCGTGTTTGGTATGAAATAAGGCTGCCATTAATCTACAATGGGTTGGATTTGGTCATGTGTCAAATTAGGCGTCCAGAATGCAAAGAAACGTATTTTCGATCTGAGTCAACCTCAAAAATTAGCTGATAGGAAAGGCTTATAAGGAGCTCAAGGTTCTCGTCCTTCATCGATGTAGAAGGGACTCATGCCATTCATCAATGTGTATGCTTTAATTTCTTATTATATTTGAATTTTTATAAATTGAGGCTCATCTCTTTTCACTTAGTAGCATCCACAATGCAACTCTAACCGATTAGAGAGAAAAATTGTGAGAAACAAGTGTTATACTCTCTCGGTCTTATTTATGTGGCACCATTTTCCATTTTTGTCTATCCCAAAAAAATACTCTTTCTGTTTCTATTTAGTTGTCATCATTTTAGATTTCACATCCCTTAAGAAACTAGGTAAATTTATCATTGTTCTCTTATTTAGTGTTCTCTTGAAGTCAAATTTTCAATCAATGAACTTGAATTAGTTAATTTTTGATTATTTAATTTGACCAATAAAAATAAATTATTTACTTAGTTTTTCTATGTTGGTCAAATGCATATTTTCAAAACTAATAACTCTTGAGGGTAAAATAGGAAAAATATAATCATTTATGTATCGATTTTATGAAATGACAATTATTAAGAAACATCTATTTTTAGTAAGTACGACATGTAAATAAGAATGAAATGAGTACTACCTTACAATAATTAGAAATAATTTAATTCTAAAATTCTTTTTTTACTCTTAATAAAATGATTTAAAACCACAACAATAATTAAGAATTATTTTAGGCCATAAACTTAAAAAAAAATATAATTTAACATCGTGTCAAGTCAAATGGTTCAGGACAAAAGAATATTTAGTATGGTTAATTATCACTATTTTGTTTTCAATCTTTAAAGGGGAATGGATGGGGAAAAAGGAATTAAGAAAAATAAAAGAACCAACAACATTGACTTGGTCAATAAGTGGGAAAAAGCTGGCAATGGGTCGAAAGCGATTTCGGAAGGGGCAATTGTACCTTCAATTAAACATTTACTGAGGCATCTCCAATTCTACACTTTATTTTACTTTTTTAAATATAGAATTCTCTATTTTTTAAGACAATAAACTTCAATCTAATTCTCTATTTTATTCTCTAAAAAAAAAAAATTCTCTCTTTAATATTATATTATTATTTCTATTTAATTCTTATTTCCTTTTTCATAATATAAATCCTTTATTTTTTTTTCCAATAATTACTTTATATAATTTTCATGTGATATTAAATTTTATTTTTTCAAAATTTTTATTTAATATAAAATTTTAGTTATTCTAAATTTTAAATAACATACAACTCAAGAAAATATTATATAATATACAAATTAATGGACAAATTCAAATAAAGGTGAAATACAATTACATAAACATTACATAAACACTCAATTTTTGAAATTATTACGCTATTCCCATAAATGCTCTATTAATGAATGCATTACAGAGTTCAAAATGAGCATTTTTGTCCTTATTTTTTTTTATGTCTAGCTAAAAATTATTTAAACCAGAGATTTTCATCTACCACCATTTCTATCGTTGGAGTTGGAGCCTCCACGGCATCTTGAATTGGTTCATTAAGATCACGTTCATTCTCAATTATCATGTTGTGCAGTATAATACATGTAGTCATTATATCATGTAGCACTTCCTTTCTCCAAAAATGTGACGGTCTTGCAATAATTGCAAAACGTGATTGCAAAACGTAATTATTATGTTATGTATTGTATTTTATCTTGTATTTAAATTATTATGGTATGTATTGTATTGTTATCTTGTATTTAAATTATCATATTATGTATTGTATTTTTAAATTAAAATTTTCATCTTATCATTTTAATTTTGTGTATTCTTTATAAAGAAATTAATAGTAAAATCAAATTATATTATTGACAAAAATTAGAAAAAATTAAAATACTATTAATTCGGGATGAAAGTAGTATATATTAAATAATATATTTTTTAAAATATTATATTACATTTAAAAAGAATTGTGAATACTAAATGTTTTATTAATGACATTATATGTAAAATAATATGTTAATTAGAAAGTAATAAAAAATAATAATAAAATATTCAAAAAGTGAAATAGAGAGTGTGAATACTAGTTCTCCAATTTGGAGAACTACTATTCACCTCTCTAAATATGAAGAATAGAGAGTGATATGGAGGTGGGTTGGAGTGTCCGTTCTCTATTTTACTCTCCAAATATAGAGAATAAAGAGTAAAATAGAGGTGTGTTGGAGATGGTCTCACCAAGGTGATAATGCAGTTCATTTTAATCTTGTGCAGAGGGCTACTCTTGTTATCAAAATTCCTAGAATTCCTTTCTTTCCATATGGTCCACCAAATAACATTTCTATTAATTAAAAAGAGAAACGCAACATTGTTGCTATCAAAGGCCAACATGAATAGACTCAAGTCTTTGCCACATTTGGAATTTACTTAAAAAAGGAAACAATGATTTTATACTTTCTACCTTCATAACTCACATCACATTTTTCAAGGAATAGAGACCTGACTGGAGTGTGGATCGAAAGCCTAAATAGACATGAATTTCACTCTGATACTATTTGGATCTAACTCAACTCCAAAAGTTAGGTCACAAGGAAAGAATTGCTCAAGTGCATATAAGCAGAGCATCCATCTATTATCAATCAATGTGGGACTCTAACACATTCTAACAGAGATAAAGTTAATATTTAATATCTACTCTTTTGGCTTGAAACATTTGGTTTAATGTATTTAACGAACAGATCGGAGAGGGGCCAGAGTCTGTCCCATATTAATCCATCGACCGTATCTATTAAGAAAATAAGAAATGTGACTTTATAACTTGCTGTAGAAATTCGTGTTTACCTTTGACAAATCTCACATTGACAAAATACAATGGAGATATTAGTCATATAAAAGGGATATCTTAGATCCTACTAACGTGTTTTAAAGTCGCGTGCATCTAGACTTAAAGCAGATAATATCACAAGTAGGTTCGACTGTCACATTTGGTATAAAGTCACAATGCATACAACCTTGGATGACATTAGGGCAAACGTAACGTTTTTAAAGTCACTAAAAGGGTAATATGCATGGAAAAAATGTTGATCAGTGAAAGAATATAACTCTGAATTCAATTCAAGTGACGTGTTGTCACTTGAGGGAAGATACAATGATTTATTCTCTATGCCAAAAGAAATTAACCGAAAAATTCATTACTGAATTAAAAGGAAAGATATAGATGATTTTAACATAATGTTGAGTTATTTACTTATTCGTTGTGCATTTACATCTCTATGTATTGGCCTTCTTCTTCATGAGTTACCATCAACTCTTTGTTGAAAGTGCTGTAGAGCTTAGAAGAGGAAGAAGATGTACTCAAAGCATTTCTTCTTGTGATAAAATGTGGCTGACTTGGTCTTGGAAGAGTCATGCTTTCGCCTCCAAGCATAACGACTACATTTGACATTGTAGGACGATCACCTGGATCTTCTTGAACACATAGAAGTGCCACATTTACGCATTTTATCACTTCCTTGTCCTCGAAATTATCAACAATAGTTTGATCCATCATGTCTAGTGCCCTGTCTTCCATCCACAGTCTCCATGCCTGTGATTAGTATTTTTGAGTCAGTTAAAGCATTAAAACAGAATAGCAAATTAATTGAGGGAAGTTTTGGGTACTTACATAACCAGTCAGGTTTACTTCTTCGAAAAATTCCATGTTTCTCTTCCCACTTATGATTTCAAGCACTACCACTCCGAAGGCAAATACATCGGACTTGATTGAAAAGAGTCCCTCCAATGCATACTCCGGTGACATATAGCCACTGTTTTTAATGTTTCATACAATGAGACATCAAAGGAAGCATATGTTTAGTGAAATCGGACCAAATTTTAGATCTCTGCCTCTGTGTGTGTGTGTGTGTGTGTGTGTTTGCTCTCCAAATGATCAAAGCTGAAAACAGTATTCAGAGACTTACTAAGTTCCAACAACTCTGGTTGTACTAGCTTCTGTGCTTTTGCCTTCAATAATCCTTGCCAAGCCAAAATCTGAAATTTTGGCATTCATTTCATCATCTAACAATATGTTGCTTGTCTTAAGATCTCTATGAATAATCCTTAGCCTCGAGTCTTGGTGAAGATAAAGAAGCCCTCGTGCGATACCCAATATAATTTCAAAACGAATCCTCCAGTCCAATAATCGGCAGAATGTATGATCTATTTGCAATGTACAAGGTTAACTTTAGAGGTAATAAATCCAAAAAAAAACCATATATTTGCATAAAACGTTACAAAGAATTTTGAGGTCCGGAGTGGAGTATACTGACCGAATATAAATGTATCCAAGCTTTTGTTGGCCATATACTCATATAGTAAGATCTTTTCATTTCCCTCAACACAATAGCCTAGAAGCCTGACTAAATTTCTGTGCTGCAGTTTGGCAATTAACATTACTTCAGTTTTAAATTCTTCAACACCTTGTCCCGAATGATTTGACAACCTTTTCACCGCTAGCTCTGCACCTTCGAGAAACTTACCCTGTATGTATAATTTTTGTCAGAATCGTTGTATAACAAAAATAGAGAAATTTGAATGGTACATGAACAAAAGAAAGTAGCCTAGCCTTATAAACAGGTCCGAATCCACCTTGCCCGAGCTTAGCTGCATTCGAGAAGTTGTCTGTAGCTACTAGTATGCTATTCAAGCTGAAAAATGGGACATCAATACGTCTCTTTTCATCTGCAGTGATCAAATCTTCACCGAAACTTTCTCTACGAGGAAAGTGCTCCATATGATTCCCCAAAACAATATCTCTTGCTTCTAAAATCAAACCAATTAAGTAATTAGTTATGAACTTGATCATAATATACCTCCAAAAGCTGAACTTGAGAAAAAACAGATGAGATTTTTCAATCGTTATCACCTCTACTTCTTGTCACTCTAGTGTTCTGATAAATTATATAACTAATGCTGCACAAAGTTATAACTCCAAGAACTACAGAGATGGAAATAACAAGGGTTCTCTGATTCCGTGAGGATGCCAGCTTCGCAATGAATGATCCTTGTGTTCCAAGTTCTGAAGCAAATTTAAGAAATGAAATTTGTGTTGGTCATATAAAAGGTCAAATGGAGAACATAGGAAAAGGTATCATTGAACTATTGGCAAGAAAATCATTTGTAGTAAGTAACATTGATCCATATACCTAAACTCGAGGAACAATTTAAAATCAAGCCATTCCATTTGTAATCAGTTTGGCATATACATCTTCTTTCTCCTTGTTTTGTCATATTGCAACTAGAATTTGGCCAATCATTGCAATCTTCTGAAGTCTTGCAAAATGGCTCCAATGGTGGTTTCCAACTAATCAATATTAAATCTTTCCCTCGACTAAAAGGTCCTGAATTAAGATTCTCTGTGGGATTGTAACACCAGTTTATCACCTTAAAAGGTGATGACTGGTTGAACCAAGAAATTCCTGTCACCGGTCCTTTGTCATCACAAGTACCAACAGATTCTTTATGAGCTGCTTCTATAACAAATGTTTTGTTATCTTTATCAAAGTTAACGACAGTATACTTGCCATTCGATGTGAGGAAGCTTACCTGACCAACTAAATCATCACATGAGAAACTATAATACAAAGGGTCACCACAATTTGGTTCACTGCTTAATGGATAGGGTATTAGGTTTATGCCACACGGCTTGCAATTTCTCCTTGTTGCTTCTGCAATGCACAAAAATCAAATTACTGTACTATTTGTGGTCACACATTAGCTTAAACTGTCTGTGTACGTAAGTTAAATCGAAAAAGAAATTACCAATATCGGAAATGCTGACACGAACAGAGATGTTGAAGCCACCAGCATAGTTCTCCTGGAGATACATGAGACTAGTGACCCAAATCCGGCATACAGAATCATGGTAAGTATAGGCCTGGCACTTACAGTTGCCTAGACAAATTCTCCTGCAGTCCTCACGGGTACTATTATTACTGAATATCCTGTCTGGACTCTTGAATTTCATCGACCTCAAATCCAAGAACGTGTCGAGCACTTCTACATTGTCTTCATTGCAAGAGCTAACTGACATACTTGAACAACCACCTGAAAATTCTCCTGCTTTTGAATTATCTGGAGGATTGAGCTTATACCCGGGCAAACATTTGCATACTGGCTCACGTTTGCTGTTACAAATGCTAAATTTCCCACAATACTTATACCAATCACACTTATCATTTGGCGCTGACCACCTCAAAGACCATCCACTGATCTCCTTATCCCAACCGTAGAATTGTATTTCCCCCGAGGAGTTCATTAAGAGCCTATACTTGTTAAATGTTCCTATCGATTCCAATGAATTATTAGTGGAGTTGGATAACAAGTAGGCAACATAACCAGGCATCTCACTGAAACTTAACTTTCCTGATTCCGCAGACCCTTTCCAGAGAATTTTGCCCTGCTTTGGAAGTACTATAACATATTCCTTGTCACTTGCTTGATCTAATCGGAATATGTAGTTCTCATATTTTGAATCAGTCAAATTCAAACTGCTATCCATTTTCATACCTGGTAGGAATGTATCGGTTGGATTGCGAAAACTCTGCCACATTTCAGCTCCTTCATCAACTAAAACTAAATTCCCTGTATCCAACAACTCTACTTTCCTGTTAGAACCACTACCTAATTGTGTGGAGAAATAAGTATACCCATTACTTATAACTTTGAGATTACCATCTTCAACGACAACCGAATTATCCTCATTCATTATTCTTTTACCCTGAATCGAATTATTCCAATTAGCAACCCATACAACAGTTCTAGGACTTAATTTGTAATACCATATGCCTACATATTTGTTTAACCCGGCATCATCAGAAAAGAATCCCATTTCGAAATTTTCTCCAGCAGATACGAGGGTTTCGCCATTGTCAACTAATTTACTGCTTCCATCAATGGTGCTCCTCCTTGCATCACATCGATGTAAAATCATCAATGCTGCAGACAACAACAACAACAGAAAATTACTTAATTGCATTGTTTTATGGAATTGTTGATGATTTGAATGAAGAACATAAATTCAAATAGGTAGCTCTTGCCCTCTATTTCATTTCAGTGAGACCCTACATGACTAATTGTTTCATTGAGAAAAAAACTCCCCCTTTCCGACATTGCCAGCTCTTTGCCAATTGACCAAGTCATTGGTCTTTTTCTAATGTCTTATATTGTATCGTATTGTATTGTCTAAATTAATAACGATTTTGATAGATGATATTATTTACAATCACACATTGGGAATTTGGATGATGAACTTATAAGAAAAGTGACATGTGGTAGAGCTATTATGAAAAGGTTTAAATAATAAATAAAAATAAAATAAGAAGAAAATATTAAAGTAACGATGCAATCACACCAAATCGATTATTATATAAAATGAGAGTTTTTGTTTTTACCTAATGATAGATCTAAAAATACGATACAATAAAATTTTAGTAACAATCAAAACAAATATTATATTTGAACTAATAATATAATACAGTACAACGAGTAACAACTGTCCAAACGTGTAAAGGGGTTAAACACTCTAAATCGAGAAGTTCTTTATTCTCTAGAACCCAATACTATTTTGTTACAAATAGAAGGATATTAACTGTCTCACTCACTTTTTAATAGTTAATTAGTTTTTGGATTACTTCATCCATCCCAAAAGCTTAGTTATTTCCACTGGATTTATGTGAAACTTGTAATCTAATATAGTGTTTAAATTTATGTTACTTCCTTCATCTATTTTTATTTTTATTATTATCATACATAATAAACAATAACATTAGCATAAACATATATTATTTCCATATTCAATACTAGTAGCGAATTTATTTACTAAAAATGAGGTAAGTAAACTTGTGGTTTCTCCGTGAAATTATTTATTTTATGTATATATCTTTTGAAATTTGTACAATATTATTTGTTGATATTCATATTATGAAAAGGCTAAATGATGTACTTAATTAGATATTAGGTTATTTATTTAGAGGACTAGAGACTAATTCTCATTTAGTATTTCTTTTTTCTTATTTTAAAAATCTTAAATTCGTCCTCCGTTCAACACAAATTTATTGATGAAATATAAGCCACATACTATAATGTATCTATTTTCAAAGTGGAGTGATTGATACGTGAGAAAAAATGTTAGGTCAAAGTCTAACTTTGAAACACTGAAAAGTTTCTCCTCAGTTCCTTTATGATCTTTTCTAAGCTGAACAACACTTCCACTCATCTACTCCATATCTTCTTCTTCTATCGTTTTTATCGAGTGTTTTGATATATGTCTTACAGTTTGACTATTTTGGATTCATATCGTATAGGACTCCATTCGAGGGAAATATTTCCTAAGACTCTGGTTAAAGAATAAAAGTACAGTCTCATCCACTACACCACATTCTTTAGTGGTTACTCCATATCTTTTCTTTCAATTCAATGTGAATCTTTCATTTAAATGTTTTAGGGCTGTCAATGTTTCTTTAAAATTGATCAAACAGATTATTAGAGATTTTAAATAAAAATTGGATGATCCTACGTATTTTATAATCGTACCGAATAATTATATTAGGATTTTAATTTTATAAAAGAAGTTGAAGAAAATACCAAAATGAACCTAAGGTTGTTTTCTCTCTCTCTTCCTTTTTAAATGGTTGCAATATTTGAGCTAACTATCAGTTTTATATTTTTAAAATTTTATATTGATACTACGTGTTATCTTTTCAAAGTTAATACGTCTAAATTGAAAAGTTTCTATTAGCAACTCAATTGTCGTTCTAAAATGGAACAAACTTTGTTATTTCTTGCAAGTTATCATAATTAATTTTTATGATTCTATGTGACGAATGAAACAAATCCGATTTCCAATACAAATAATGATATATATTATAATCACTTAATACAAGTTACAATGTAGAATATATATAACAAAGTAATAACACACTAACTAAGGAGAGATCAACAGAGAAGAAGTAACGAGAGAGATGAGTACAAGACCATAGAAAGGGAATGAGAGATATCAGAAAGTCAAAGCTTTGACATTATAGTTTTCATAACCGTTCTTTGTGATCCCTAGTCTTTTTTAACAACAACTAATTGAGTCTGGATTCTGAATAAAACTCTCCAATATTTTACTCAGCCTAACAATATATCACCTTGATCAGTGGTTTAGACCATTGGCCCTTATAGAATCATGATGGTTCACAACAACAAATAAGTCATCCTCAATGATTCTGATGTGATATATATTCAAAAATAAAAAACCAAAAACTAATTGAAATGTATCGATACCGAATAGAAACTTAAATGATTGAAACGGTTTAGAAAAATCTAATTTTTGTGCTACGAAATGAAAGAATAACTAAAAAGTTAAAAATTATATAAGTTTCATAAATTAATTGTTCTAACATTTGACACGCCTAGTTTCGTCTTCCGTGAAGTGATTTTTTTTTTAAAAAAATGGGGGTAGGGAAGGGAAAATTGGGAAGAGATTATAACGTGGGGAAGCAAACCCTCACCAATAAGGTGAAAATTTAAGTAACTAACCAACTGAGCTACTAATATTGTGATTAGACATCACTATAATCCTTGTCTGGTCCAACATTTGTTTCGGACTTTATTGTCGTATCTCACAAATAATTCCAATTTCCAGGAAGCTTTTTATAATGAATTATTTCCCCAACAAATAATGCAATATTTCAGGACTCTTCATGGACACATCACTATTTTTAAATAGGAGTACAACTTTGACTTTGTCTAATAGACTAGTAACTAGTAATTAAGCTTTAACAATACTACGCTACTGTTTGGCCATAGAATTTCAAATATTTTTGACAAATATTATCTGGGTGAAATTTCACCATTTGTTTGGTCATAATATTTGAAAAACATTTCACTTTTTTAGAAAAAATATGATATATATCCATAAGTTTTAAAACTAATCATAAGTTTGTATTATAAGTCATCTTCGTTGCAACAAATAACAAGTAGTGTCCATGACACTAGAGCAATGTGTTAGTCTGGAGTCAGTGCAACAAGCATCATTCCATACACCGTGAAGTAGACAAAACACATGACTTTGTTATCCTGAGCCGATTGTTTATCATTTTCATCAAGAACCATATCATCACTTTCACATTCACTGAATATTTCATCACTACTTGGGTGTTCACGTACAGAATTATGTAATACAGCGTAAACAACTACTATAGATGGTGTTTTTGTAAAAGATAAAAGTTTGGTGTAGAATTTGAATTTTTAAAAGATCCAAAATAATGAGATTTGACCCAAAAACTAGTTTTTTTCTAGTATTTGGAACTTTGGGTTATTTGCCAGAAATATTTGCCAAATAATGCCAAATCCCCCCCCCCAAATTTTACTTGAGAAATCTATGATCAAATAGGTTCTACATTATTTGCTTGGTAAGGATACGATTTGCGTATACCGCGTATACTACATTCTTTTCAGGTCCACTTATAGAATCACATTGAATATGTTGTTGTTGTTCGTTTATATAGAATGTTGGTTGCTGGATGTATACATAATACATTAATTGTGACATTATATCCAAACAAAGTTTTTATAGAACTTGTACATAACTCTACTTGATAATAAATTTTTTAATTATTCTATCCGAGACTACAACACAATCGGTTATTTTGCGTGCCAAAATAATTTAACAGAAATTCAAACTGAAATTGAAGTAAAGATATACCGGCACATTATTGGCTTGTGTGCGTTATGCATTTAACTTATATGTATATTGATTTCATCGGCCTACTCGTTGAGTTATTGTCAACCCATTGTTGGAAGTGTTGTATAGCTTAGAAGACGAAGAAGATGTACTTGCACCAGCACTATTTCTTCGTGCTATAAAAGCTGGTTGATTTGGTCTTGGTAGTGTTATGCTTTCACCTCCAAGCATAAAAACAACATTTGACATTACAGGACGCTCAGCTGGATCTTCTTGAACACATAGGAGTGCCACATTAACGCACTTTAGCACTTCACTTTCATCGCACGACTCAACTATGGTTTGATCCATCATGTCTAATGCACTGTCTTTCATCCACAGTCTCCATACCTGTGAAATGCTAATTTTGAGTCAATGAAAGCTTTAAGTAGAATGAGATGTATATTAATGAGGGAAATTTTGGTACTTACATGACCAATGAGGTTTACATCTTCGAAAAATTCCATGTTTCTCCTCCCACTTACGATCTCGAGTAGGACTACTCCGAAGGCAAATACATCAGACTTGATTGAAAAGAGTCCCTCCAATGCATATTCCGGAGACATATAGCCACTGTTTTTAGTGTTCCAGAATAGGTTATTTTAGCATCTAGTTTGTGTAAACCAATACATTAGGTGTGTATATATCTATCTTCTTCCCACCAAATCAAAGGTGAAGCAGAACTAAGAGACTTACTATGTTCCAACGACTTTGTTAGTATTGGCTTCTGTATTTTTGCCTTCAACAATCCTTGCCAAGCCAAAATCTGATATTTTGGCATTCATTTCTTCATCTAACAATATGTTGCTCGTCTTTAGATCTCTATGAATGATCCTTAGCCTCGAGTCTTGGTGAAGATAAAGTAGCCCTCGAGCAATACCCAATATAATTTCAAAACGAATCCTCCAGTCCAGTAATCGACAGAATGCATGATCTAATTTCAAGGTTTGTAAGATAACTTCAGAGAGAATCAATCATAAAACTATTACTACAACGAGTTTCATGGTAGGGAGGGAAGTATACTAACCGAATAGAAACGTATCCAAGCTTTTGTTGGGCATATATTCATATAACAAAATCTTTTCATTTCTCTCAACACAATAGCCTAGAAGCCTAACTAAATTTCTGTGCTGCAGTTTGGCAATCAACATTACTTCAGTTTTAAATTCTTCAACACCTTGTCCAGAATTACTTGACAACCTTTTAACTGCCATATCTGTACCTCCGAGAAACTTACCCTGCATAAATATATCTCCGGACTGTTATATAATGAAAACGAAAGAAAAAAATCTGAATGGTAAAACAACTTAGAACAGAAGAAGGAAAGAAAAATAAAGTTGCAAAACCTTATAAACAGGTCCAAATCCACCTCTCCCGAGCTTACTTGCATTTGAGAAGTTTTCAGTAGCAACTAGTATGCTATTCAAGCTGAAAAACGGGACATCAATCCGTTTCTTATCATCTTCAGTGATTAAATCTTCATCAAAACTATCTCTATGAGGCAAGTACTCCATAGGCATTCCCAAAACAATATCTCTGGCTTCTATAATCAAAACAATTGAAGTGATTACGATATCCAAAAGTTGGAGTAGTTGAGAAAAAGCAGATGAAATTTCTACATTGTTACCTTTACTTCTTGCCGATCTTTTCAGATAAATTATATAAATAATACCACACAGAACCATAACTCCAAGAATTACAGAGATGGAAATAACTAGGGGTTGCTGATTCCGTGAGGATATCTGCATCGGTGTATTGTTCAATGGTTCTTGTGGTCTAACATCTGAAAACAATTCAATAAATAAAACAAGTGTTGGTATCAGAAAGGTAAAATGAAGAATTTATGGTCACACATCAGCTTCTTACCAATAGGGGGCCAGAGGCGTATCCAGGATCTCAAGAACATGGGGGCACCATTATCTTCAAAATAGGCAATTAATTCAATTATATAAATTTTACGGTGAGAACAAGTTGACGAGCAAGTAGGTAGTAACAATCTTTATATAGTAATATATTAGCAACAAACATCATTCACTTACAATTGTCCTCGACGAGTTTTCATATTTTGAAAACGGTCAATAATGGCATCATTACTTACATTTTTAAATATACTACGCTCTATATAGCAAACTAAACAACCATTCAAAAGATCTTCATCCATCCTATTACGCAAATCATTCTTTATGTACTTCATTGATGAGAATGCTCTTTCCACGCTTGCGGTAGCAACAGGAATAATCAAAGTTAGCTTCACAAGTAGATACACAAGTGACCAAGTTTGATCTAGTTTTGTCTCTATCATCACTTTTGCAAGATCCTTGATTCCCTTCAAGTTGAGAAACTTGCTATCACACTTTTGAGCATAGACAATAAAATCATCAAGTTGAAAATTGAGTTCCCGAAGCTCTTTATCACCAAACTCACTTGGGTAGTACTCGGCTAGTTTCATTATCCTATCCTTGTGAAAATTAGCAAATGAATCAACCGGACTCAAACTAGCCATACCGAGGAGCAAGTCACTAGTCACCACATCAAAACGATTATTGAGTTCTTGAAGTGCCAAATCAATGACGGCATAAAATACTTCCACACGAAAGTGATGCAAATATGAAATATTGGACCTCTTACGCTTCGACTTCCCATTAGAGTAGTCTTCATTCATTTTGGGAATTGAAATTCCATGTTTACCACAAAATAAGCTAACCTCATCCATCATAGAGTCCCATTCATCCTCTCTCATCATTTGCAATCGTTTCTTTGAAAGGTCAAGCAATCCCATAGCATTAACAATATCTTGATCTTTCTTTTGTAAAACTTTATTCAACTCATTCGTCAATAGCAACACCTTAAACATCAAGTGCAACATAAAGACAAATTCAAATTCATGAATCTTGCTCAAAAGATTTTCCGCCGTAAATCTATCAAGATGATATGGACAATCACGTTTCATATCCTTAAGCACATTAACAATTGAAGAAAAAAGAATCAGGAAATTGTCCAAGGTTTTAAAATGAGACCCCCAACGAGTATCACCCGGTCGTTGGAGGCCACGTTCTTGATTCAAACCTTGCCCTGTATGAACTTCTCCAAATTTAAGCAACTCTTCCAACTTATCTTCTTGATGTTGTCGAAGTGAATCTCTGCGTTTAAATGAAGCTCCAATAGTATTCAAAATATTAGTGAGAACATAAAAAAAATTATCCACATCCGAATTCTTTTTGGAAAGACCTACAAGTGCCAATTGCAATTGGTGAGCAAAACAGTGAATAGAATATGCAGATGACGTATCTTGTAAAATCAAAGACTTGAGACCATTTATTTCCCCTTGCATATTACTAGCCCCATCATAACCTTGACCACGTATTTTGGATGTACATAATGAGTGATCCAAAAGCAAAGAATAAATTGCCTTTTTTAATGATTGAGAAGATGTATCATTTACGTGGACAATACCCAAGAATCGCTCTATCACCATTCCACTTTTGTTGACATATCTCAAAATTAGAGCCATTTGCTCCTTATGAGAAACATCCTTTGATTCATCAACTAATATTCCAAAATAATCACCGTCCAAGTCTTCAATGATAGCCTTAGTTATTTCTTTAGCACAAGCCTCCACAATATCTTTTTGAATTGTCGGACAAATCATCATATCATTTTGTGGAGCATTACCTAATATTACTCTTCCCACATCAAAACTTCTATCCCCATACCATTTCAAAAGTTCAAGAAAAGCACCCTTATATTCGGAACCTTCACTTTCATCATGTCCACGAAATGGAAATCCCGATGTCAAGAGAAATCTTGCTACATCAATTGAGGCATTTAAACGCATCCGATAATCACTTCTTGCCTTTTCACTTTGCTTGTCAAAAGAAGATTGGATCAATTGTCGGTGGTTTTTCAAATCTTGCATCCTATTGAAACATTTATGATGGATACTATTTACCTTACCAACATGTTTTTTGAATCTTTCTAAAGCTTTGTTCCAACACCTAAAACCATCTCTTGTAAATGAATCTCCGGCATTTCCACGACTTTCAAGTTCATTCTTGAACAAAAAACAACACAAACAAAATGTTGTGTCTGCTTTAATGCTATATTCCAACCATTGAGATCTTCTCTTAAACCAAGTTGGTCGAAATTGACGCATTTTATCTCCAAACTTAGTTTTAGGGAAGATATGATCAACAAGTTGACATGGCTTTTTTAGAATGTAATACCTCCTTACCGCATTTCGAATATTAGGACAATAAGATGAAATAGGCATTCGATCTTTGGGATCTGCTTCCAGAGATTTAAAATCAAGTATATTATCCATATTTGAAAGTGGAAAAGAATTTGTATGTCTTTGAACTTCCGGAGCAACTTGTGAACTCACGAATGGTTGATTAGAGCTAGAACTTGGTTGGCCATCTTTTGGCTTTGGTAACTTGATGAGAAACTTATCCATTTGTGATTTGATGAATTGATTGTAAGAATTATTTTACCTACAAAATTAAATATTCACACTTCTATTCAATCTTATAAAAACAAAATAATTTTTAAAAAATATTAGCACAAATAACAAGTTTACTAATAAAAGAATCACAATTATTAGATAACTATTTAGAAATCAAGAAATTCTTATAAATTTAAATATTCAAGCAATCAAATAATGGAACCACTTCATAAATCAAGAAAAACATATAAAACAAATAAAGTACATTAATAAATAATTATTTTTTTTAGATAACATACCTTGTTACTTGTTCTCAAATCTCACTTCTACTTCACCATGAACAACAAAGTGGAAATGTGGAATGAAGCCAAAAGAAGAACAATATGATGTCTTTACTCCTTTTTACCTTTTAGTTTAGGGCTTTGAAAAGTCAAAAGAAAAAGTTAAAAAAAAATAATAAGAAAAACGTCTAAATAAAGAAGGAAAGGAGAAAAAGAAAGTAAAAAATATAATTTGACTTTATTGACACTTCTAGCTTAAGGTCTAGACATAGCTAATGCAACCTAAAAATATGGGTATTTGAACCTCTTTTTATTTATAAATTATTAAAAAGATCTATGAAAAGTGGTACATTTTGTTATATTAATTAAAAATTAAAAATGTTAATGTGGATAGAAAAATTTGAACCACAAATCTATAAGTTATGCACCCCCTATTTGTACTTACTTATCAATATACTAGAGTATTCTTTTTAACCTTGGGTTCACCAATACAAATTTAAAAAGATAATTAGAAAAATAGTAGTATTATATAGGGGTTAGGAAGGGGAGGATGGGTGCATGTGAACCCCCTCCCCTTCACATACATACGCCTCTGTAGGGGGCACGCGGACAGAGAGGTTGAAGCCACCAGGGTAGTTCTCCTGGAGATTATTGAGATTCGACCCCCAAAACCAGCATCCAGAATTGTTATAATATGTATATGCTTTGCATGAGCAGCTGCTTAAACAATGACTCATGCAGTTCTCACTGGTATTAATCTTTTTATCTGTCCAATTTGAATTTCCAAATTTCATTGAGCTCAGATGCACAAATGTATCTTCTTTGCATGAGTTATCTGATATTCTCGAACATCCACCTGAATATTCCCCGTCTCCATTATCTTCTGGAGGATCACTCTGAAACCCAGGCAAACAGCTGCACACTGAACTTCCATTGCTGTTACAAATCTCAAATGTCCCACATTTTCTAAACTCGTCGCATTCATCTTTTGGGGCAGACCATAACAAGGACCATCCACTCTGGTTATCCCATAAGTAGAATTGTATTTCTCCAGAGGAGTTCATCAGGAGTCTAGTACCTTCGAAAATAGAATCTTTGCTACTATGATTGGCTAACCTTGAAAAATCAATCGGAGTAAAACTACGATTATTATTGAATAATGTTCTTGTCGCTTCCACTGAATTATTGAATAATGTTCTTCTCGCTTCAACTGAATTATTGGATAAAAAGAAGGTTACAAAAGAGGGCATATCATTGAATCTGAAGAATTCATAAGCAGTTGATTTCGCAAACCCTCCTACAGACCCTTGCCAGTGAATTTTATGCATTCCATTCTCATCAACTATGACATATTTTTTGTTGTTTGTTTGATCTAATTGGAATTTGTAGTTGCCATTTTTTGAATCAATCAACTTCAAATTACTATCCATTTTCATGCCTGGTAGAAATGTATCGGTTGGATTCCGAAAACTCTGCCACATTTTAGTTCCTGATTCATCAAATAAAACCAAATTCCCTGTATCCAACAACTCTGCTTTAACGCCAGAGTTACCATCTACTTCTGAGGAGAAATAAATGTGTCCACTAATATTCAAAACTTTGAGCTTACCATCTTCAACGACCATGGAAACATTCTCCTTATTTTTTGTTGAATTCTGAATCGAATCATTCCAATTAGCAACCCATACAACAGTTCGAGGACCTTTCTTGTTATACCATATGCCTACATACCAGTTTAACCCGGCATCATCACAAAAGAATCCCATTTCGAATTTTTTTCCAGCAGATACCAGTGTTTCCCCGTTGTCTATTAACTCACTCCCTCCATCGATCGTGCTCCTTGCATCACATCCACATATAATCACCAACACTGCAAACAACAACAAGAGAAAATTACTCATTTGCATAACTTAAACTTTTCCAGCAACTACTTGAGTCAGTAACATTTTTTATGGTATGAAAAAGTAAACATTCACTTCAAATGGAACATATACTAGTACTAGTAAATGCTTGATTGCGAGTACAGTCAACTCACCAAGTCAATGGTCGTCCTTAAATTATTTTAGCTTTTATTTTCAGCCAACCATTGAGATTTTATATGATAAAACTTTGTTTCTATTACTCAATGATCACTCAACTATTTGTAATCAACTTATAATACTATAATTGAGTGACTTTTTGAATAATAAATGGTATGCTTTGGAGAATTGATATGTAGATATAGAGTAAATTACTTCCTCTGTCCAAAATGTAACTAGGGTGTTTCAGAAACTAAATTAATTCTTGATTTCATTTGTACAAGATCATCATATTATTTTACATTTAGATACTACTCTTAGAATTACTTTCTAATTCTCATTTACTGTTTGGTGTGACTTCACATAAAAACGAAGAAAAGTATTCAAAATGTTTAATAATTTAGGACTAGTATTATTGACAGAAATATAACCACATATATTGTTTTCATTTTTATAAGATGAAAGAAATGAGACGACGAAAAATGTAAGTCAAGTCAACTTTGGAGTACAGGATTTTCTCGTACTACTATAGTTAATTCTTTAATTTATTATCTCTTCGTTTATTTTCTCTATCGACAAATAAGACGTATGGTCCTATCTCACAAAATGATTCCTGGAATCAAATTATTTTTATTTTATTTTTTAAATGGACAAAGACTAAAATCCAGTTCTACATATTTTCAGACGATATAATTATAAATTATGTCATTTAACTTTGTTTAAGTTACACTCTGTTTGTATCATTGTTACTCATTTATTTGACCCAAATACTAGTTTTTTCTAGTATTTGGGAATTTGGGTTATTTGTCAGAAATATTTGCCAAATAATATCAAATTGTATGGACAAACACTATTTGCTAATTTTTTCCCCAAATTTTACTTGAGAAATCTATGGCCAAACGGGTCCTACATTATTTGCTTGATAAGGATAAGATCTGCGTATACTCGTTTATATAGAACTAGTCCTGGACACGTGAGTCCCGTGAAATGTGTGAATTACTGTCAAAATCACATTTTAATCAGTATCACAAGCTATTTTAAAAAATACAATTTAAAATAGATGAACAATCAATGTATTCAAATAACTTCTTTATTGTATATCAAATGATTAGACATTTGATGAACCTGCAAAATTTAGTTTGGTATCTAAAATAATGAGTTACATTTTTATGTTATTAGGTCCAAACATATGATATATTAGTATGTGCAAAAATGAATAACAAAAATGATTAATGGTTCTCATTTAAATGCACAATAAGAAAACTTCTACATATACCCTAAATTGATATCTATACTTCAAGTCCAACACTCATACAATTTTAAATGATTCATGGAAGAAAAATTTTATAATGGAGAAAGAAAGCAAGAACGAAAAGTTGAGGATATTGCAAAGAAAGTCTTCATGCCCTGAAAAGAAAACTTTGTTATTGTTAGAGACAACATATCAACATTAGACTGTTCATTGTTTAATACTACACATGTATTAAATTTACTCTCTTTTGCTATTTTTTCTTCTTGATTACCAATTTTTAGCATTTTTTTGGTTATCTGAACTTGCAACTTCTAACTCTCTTATTTTCTCATGTTGAATTGAGTAATTTTCTTAATTCGATTTCCTATTGTGAGTCTCCATCTTTGCAAGTTGGTTCTTAAATAGCATTAGGAAATGACCCTTTAAATTCAAATTTTAATTCTGAAATTGATTTCTACATTAAAGTGATGAATGACTTTCCATATCATAACTTTTCAAATTCTTCCATTATGAGATTTATTATTATGATTAAGAGCAATATCAATGTACTCATTTATATATATATATATATGATATGATGTTGGTTGCTGGATGTATGGAAAAAATCCTTTTGGCCAGAAAATTTGGTCAGAATTTGGCCAGAATGGTAAAATAACATATTTCACACTATGTTATTTTACATTTTTAACCTTTTAACTTTAATACCTTTTAATTTAAAAAATGGAAAGAAGATCCGTTTATTTTAAAATAAAAGAATATTATAGACTTTTAAATTTTCTGACCAAATTTTCTGGCCATTTAGCATTAACCCTGGATGTATACATAATACATTAATTGTGACATTATATCCAAACAAAGTTTTTATAGAACTTGTACATAACTCTACTTGATAATAAAAATTTTAATTATTCTATCGAGACTATAACACAATCAGTTATTTAGCGTGCCAAAATAATTAACAGAAATTCAAACTGAAATTGAAGAAAAGATATACCGGCACATTGTTGGCTTATGTACGTTATGCATTTAACTTATATATATCGATTTCATCGGCCTACTTCTTCAGTTATTGTCAACCCATTGTTGGAATTGTTGTATAGCTTAGAAGACGAAGAAGATGTACTTGCACCAGCACTATTTCTTCGTGCTATAAAAGCTGGTTGATTTGGTCTTGGTAGTGTTATGCTTTCACCTCCAAGCATAAAAACAACATTTGACATTACAGGACGCTCAGCTGGATCTTCTTGAACACATAAGAGTGCCACATTCATACACCTTAGCACTTCATTTTCATCGCACGACTCAATTATGGTTTTATCTATCATGTCTAATGCACTGTCTTTCATCCACAGTCTCCAAACCTGTGATAAGTAAGTTTGAGTCAATGAAGGCTTTAAGTAGAATGAGATGTATATTAATGAGGGAAATTTTGGTACTTACATGACCAATGAGGTTTACATCTTTACATCTTCGAAAAATTCCATGTTTCTCCTCCCACTTATAATCTCGAGTAAGACCACTCCGAAGGCAAATACATCAGATTTGGTTGAAAAGAGTCCCTCCATTGCATATTCCGGAGACATATAGCCACTGTTTTTAGTGTTCCAGAATAGGTTATTTTAGCATCTAATTTGTGTAAACCAATACATTTTGGTGTGTATATATCTATCTTCTTCCCACCAAATCTAAGGTGAAAGCAGAACTAAGAGACTTACTATGTTCCAACGACTTTGTTAGTATTAGCTTCTGTATTTTTGCCTTCAACAATCCTTGCCAAGCCAAAATCTGATATTTTGGCATTCATTTCTTCATCTAACAATATGTTGCTCGTCTTTAGATCTCTATGAATGATCCTTAGCCTCGAGTCTTGGTGAAGATAAAGTAGCCCTCGAGCAATACCCAATATAATTTCAAAACGAATCCTCCAGTCCAGTAATCGACAGAATGCATGATCTAATTGCAAGGTTTGTAAGATAACTTCAAAGAGAATCAATCATAAAACTATTACTACAACGAGTCTCGTGGTAGGGAGGGAAGATTACTAACCGAATAGAAACGTATCCAAGCTTTTGTTGGGCATATATTCATATAACAAAATCTTTTCATTTCTCTCAACACAATAGCCTAGAAGCCTAACTAAATTTCTGTGCTGCAGTTTGGCAATCAACGTTACTTCAGTTTTAAATTCTTCAACACCTTGTCCAGAATCACTTGACAACCTTTTAACTGCCATATCTGTACCTCCGAGAAAGTTACCCTGCATAATTATATCTCCAGACTGTTATATAACGAAAACGAAAGAAAAAAATCTGAATGGTAAAACAACTTAGAACAGAAGAAGGAAAAAAGAAAAGAAAATTGCAAAACCTTACAAACAGGTCCAAATCCACCTCTCCCGAGCTTACTTGCATTTGAGAAGTTTTCGGTAGCAACTAGTATGCTATTCAAGCTGAAAAACGGGACATCAATCCGTTTCTTATCATCTTCAGTGATTAAATCTTCATCAAAACTATCTCTATGAGGCAAGTACTCCATAGGCATTCCCAAAACAATATCTCTGGCTTCTATAATCAAAACAATTGAAGTGATTACGATATCCAAAAGTTGGAGTAGTTGAGAAAAAGCAGATGAAATTTCTACATTGTTACCTTTACTTCTTGCCACTCTTTTCAGATAAATTATATAAATCATACCACACAGAACCATAACTCCAAGAATTACAGAGATGGAAATAACTAGGGGTTGCTGCATCGGTGTATTGTTCAATGTTCCTTGTGTTCCAACTTCTGAAGACAATCCAATAAATGAGACAAGTGTTGGTATCAGAAAGGTAAAATGAAGAATTTATGGTCACACATCAGCTTCTTACCATTAGGGGGCATGCGGACAGAGAGGTTGAAACCATCAGTGTAGTTCTCCTGGAGATTATTGAGATTCGACCCCCAAAACCAGCATCCATAATTGTTAGAATATGTATATGCATTGCACGAGCAGTTGCTTAAACAATGACTCAGGCAGTTCTCACTGGTATTAATCTTTCTATCTGTCCATTCTGGATTCACAAATTTCATTGAGCTCAGATCCATAAATGTGTCTTCTTTGCAAGAGTTATTTGATATTCTCGAACATCCAGCTGAATATACCCCGTCTCCATAATATTCTTGAGGATCACTCTGAAACCCAGGCAAACATCTGCACACTTGCCTGTCTTTGCTGTTACAAATCTCAAATTTCCCACATTGTCTGAACTCGTCGCATTTGTCTTTTGGGGCTGACCATAACGTGGACCATCCAGTCTCATTATCCCAAAAGGTGAAATGTATTTGTCCATCGGTCATCAGGAGTCTAGAATGTTTGTAAATAGAATCTTTGTTACTATGATTGGCTAAGCTTGAAATATTCAATAATGTTCTTCTCGCTTCATCTGAATTATTGGATAAAAAGAAGGATACAAAAGAGGGCATATCATTGAATCTGAAAAATTCAGAAGCAGTTGAGTTCGCAAACCCTTGCCAGTGATTACCCACTCCGTTCTCAACTATCACATATTGTTTGTTGTCTTTTTGATCTACTTTGAATTTGAACTTCCAATTTCCAGATCCTACCCAAGATGTTATTTCCAGATTCTCCATATTCATGCCTGGTAGGAAAGTATTCGTTGGATTCCGAAAACTCTCCCACACTTTAGTTCCTGATTCATCAAATAAAACCAAATTCCCTGTATCCAACAACTCTGCTTTAAC